TTTAGATAAAAAAAAAAAAAAACAATTTTAATAAAAACAACTTCCCTGTAAATTTGTGAATTCATCATAATCATTTATAAATAATCGCAATAATGGGTAATAAACCATCATCTCAGACACGACGACAAAGAACAAATTATTATGGTGGTATGTTTTTATATGATGAAAATGAAATCGACAGAGTGCAAATACAACATCATTTTGCTAGAGAATCATATAATGGAAATTTTTCTTCTCCTGTAAAAGATGTATTAAGAACTGGTGGAGCTACAGTTTTAGATGTTGGGTAATATATTAAAATCTTTATCTTTTTTATCTTTTGGAATTTAATTTCTTTATTTTTTTTAAAAAAAAATTTTAATAATAATTTTTTACATTTTTTTTCTTTTTAGATGTGGAGCAGCTACATTCTTATGTGAAATGGCAGCGGATTACCCAAGAACTCATTATTTTGGGGTTGATTTACTTCCTACATGTCCAAATACATTGCCACATAATGTAAAATTTCTTCAACGTGATGTATTAAAAGGATTACCTTTTGCTGATAATACGTTCGATTTCGTTTATGTCAGATTTTTAGTATTGGATTTAACAGAATATGAATGGGAAAAAGTTATAAAAGAATGCACTCGTGTATTGAAACCTAATGGTTGGATTGAAATGATGGAACCTAAATTTGCAATGAGTAATCAAGGTCCTACAACAGAAAGAGTTATGAGTGCAAGTAAGTAATATAAAATTTATTTTGATTTTAAAATTAAAAAGTTGATTTTTTACTGATTATATATAATTCATTTTTAGTTCAAGCCAGAGCAAGAGCTCGTAGTGTAGATCCTTTAATAGTGGATAAACTTGGAGGATTTTTAACTTCAATGAAATGTCTTAGACAAGTAAATACTGAAATGAGAGAAGTACCTTGTGGTAGTTGGGGTGGTAAAAAAGGTCAATTAGGTGCTATGTTTATAAGGGATGTTGTTAAAAAACATTTACGTTTTATTGATAGTATATTAAATATACGCCAAAGTGAATATGATAATGTTTTAAATAATTTCACACAGGAAATTGAACTTCATCGTTCTTATTTTGAATTTTATAGATATTTTGCTCAAAAACATTAAGTTTTAATATATATATATATATATAAATATTTTAATTTATTATTATAAAAAAAAAATACTACAATGAATATGATTCAAAATAATATAACAAAAAATATTAATTTGTTAAAATAACTCAACCTTTCGTTCCTATAATGAAAAATAAATTCAAGCTATGATACATGGGTTTTGATTTTTAAGAACAAAAACTTTTATCATCTGATCACGCATCAAATTTTGTATCAGTTTACATATTATAACAAATAAATACTATTTGGATAAAATCAATGCATTTATTCTTATTAATAATTTTTAAATGGTAAAATTTCTCTGTTCATCACGTGACATAATTTTAGAGCAATTTTATTGGGTAAACACAAAAAAATTAATATTTGAGAATAACAATCGCGAATAAATTATTACACAATTTTTAAAACATCGCCACCAATCCATACTATTCTAATTTCTAAAGAGAGAGTGTATAGTTTTCTGAAAATTTCAGAATTTTTTTTGGAAAAATATATAATTATAAAAAATATCAATAGAAAAAATCAAATAAAAATCCATTAAAAAAATTGAGAATGTGTGTTGATCGTATTTATTCAATAATTCAATATACAGCTAATTATAAATTGTCAAATAAATAAAAAAATTCTTACTAAAACAATATATATATATATATATATATAATAAAAATACACTAACAATATAATCTATTATAACGCAATAAAAAAAACTATTTAGTAAAGCAATATAATATAAAATCAATCTAATTAAAAAAATTGAGTCATATTTAGATTACCCATATAAATAATTTGAATTGTGTAACATTGAAAAGTGTGATATTCTTGCGCCCGATCTATATGAGGCGCCATGCTGTTCAAAAGTCTGGGGTTTAAACCCCAGATCAAATCCCAGATTTATCCGGGGTGAAAATGGATTAATCCATATTTCATCCCAGATTTTCCTATATTTCACCCCGGATTTGATCCATATTTTATCCCGGATCTGATCCACATTTTACCCCAGATTAATTCCTGTCTCTTATACACATCTAGATGTGTATAAGAGACAGGTGAGAGGGGATGTCTGGTAACCATATCCAAAAACCAGACATCCCCCGTTGTGAGAGGGGATGTCTGGTAACCATCTAAAATAAACATCCCCCCCACGTTGTGAGAGGGGATGTCTGGTAACCATATCCAAAAATCAGACATCTCCCGTTGTGAGAGGGGATGTCTGGTAACCATCCAAAAAAATGACATCCCCTCCGTTGTGAGAGGGGATGTCTGGTAACCATAAACATGAGACCAAACATCCCCTTGTGAGAGGGGATGTCTGGTAACCAAGAAGCTATCTAAAATCCATCCATAATCTAGTAGTCTCCCCCATCCCGTCATTGTGAGAGGGGGAAGAAACCCTTTCTTTTAAATTTTTTAAAAAGTAGTCGGGATTAGTGCGGTATTGGTGGGTGGGTTGTGAGGTTGGGCGGTTCGTGTGGTTAAAGGTTTAAGCGGATTGCGAAGGTTATTATAAATATGAAAAAATTTCACAAATTAAAAGGAGTGGTAATATCATTTGTTAAAAATGAGTTCGGAAAATTAATATTTTTTTTTTTTTTTTTTGGTTTTATATTTTTATGAAGGACTGAAAGACGAGAAAAGTTGGGAGCAATTTATAACAAGTTTGATAAATGAAAAAAATGATGTAAAAAATTTACCATTTTTAAAGGACAATAACAAAATATTTACTATCGATTAAAGAAAACAAAAAAAAATACAATGATAAATATTCCAAATAAAGTAACAATAACAACATATTGAATGATTTGAATGAATATCTGCGCCATAAAAATACTGCGGGGTACCAATTGGGGAAACAAAAGGACAAAAAAAAAATTACATTTTTTTTGTGATGATCATTTTCTAAAAAGAAACAAAGACATAAACAAATAAAACTAATTTTGAATATTGCACAGATTATCAATCACAAATTCTTTTTAAAGACGGATAAAAGTAGAAGTATTAATGTGTGTGATTTACGTTTATGAGTTATTTGAAACTCGTTAGTATAAAGATAATATTATTTATTATAATTATTATAAAGAAATTCTCAGTTTGGAAAAAATTGAAATAATTATATAATTGCATTAATTAAACGTAACAAATCGGTTAATTAAATGTGCTGCAAAATATCCTTGGGTTTTGGTTCCATAGGTCACAAAAAAATTGTCCGTTTTTTCCGTATCGTTTCAGATTTTATTTTCGATTACGTAATCTTTGCTTCAAGAATACATAATCTTAATATTCTTGATAAAAAGTTATTCCATTTTACCCTTTTTAATACTCTACCGTCCGATTTTCCATTTTTATTCGTTTTTTCGTTTTTCAAAATTTCCCTAAGCGAGTAAAGATCATGATCATGTGATAATACAGAATTCTTTACTAATCTCCCGGAAGCTTAATAGCCGTTATCCGGAATTCTCAGTAAACCTCGTGACTTTCGTATCACTCATTTTCGGTCCTATATAATACCACTTTGATCGAAAAACCAAGAGAATTATTAGCATTTTATGTCCCATACTCTTTTCTTTTTTTTTCTTGTTTCGTTCTCCTCCAAATTCTTGTTTACTCACGTTTTTTATTCAGGTGTGTTTTGTTTGAGTTGTTTTTAGAAAATTCAATAAATATTATAAATCAAGCATATCATTTGAGTTTATCGGATAAAATCATGTTGATTTTACTAAATATAAATAACTTTTTTTGTTTGGTCTCTTTTTTTTTTAAAAAAAAAAATTTATTTTTGTGTTATCAATTTAGGTAATTTTCTTCTTTGATCCCTTTAACTTGCTTCTTTATTCATTATAAATAATCCTTAATATATTTATTGTTCAAAAAATCTTATGCTGTTCCGTTAAAAAGGTGACAACGAATCAAATCTATTATAACTTTACCTACTTACCTTCCTTTTCAACGCATATACCGTTGTTGATTGTAAGCAAAATTTTGGTTTTTTTTTCTTTCTTTCTTTTTACTTCTTATATACGATGTATAATTAAAATATGTATATAATTTAGTATAATGTGCTTATTTATAACATAATTATATTAAATTATATTAATTTATATCAAGTATATTAAATTGTAAATTTACAGTTTTTTTTTATTTTTTCGTAAATTATCATAATAATTTATTACCCGTAAAAGAATATGATCTTAATAAGATTTCATTTTATTCCTTTTTATAATAAACTCATAAAATATTTAGATTGTTCGATCGGCGTTAAATAATAAATATTTGAGATTTACGGTACATTACTTCATTATTTTGTTGGACAAAAAAAAAAAAACGAGCAAGATAATATAACTTTCGTAATGGTTACTTTATCAGCCGAACAACAACAAAAACTTAGAGATATTGCGAAAGCGCGTAAGGAAGAAAATGAAAGACTGGCTTTAGAAATGGAAGTACCGATTGAACAGATAGAATTGTTTCTTGGTAGAGCTACTGTTCAACGAATCGAGAAATCTCGTGATATTTCAGGATTTGATTTATTTAAAAAAGATTGGTATAAATCAAATCCAGGAAATAATCCTTTGAAATCAAATCATTTAGTTTCTGCAGCTTGGAAATTAGTATCTTCTGAACAAAAACATGTATATCATGAATTAGCTATGAAACAAAATACAAAACCTCCAACATTAAATCCTTCCGCAAGTACTAGAACTAATGAAAGGAGGGGATACATGAACGATATGAAAAAATTGGCTGATATGTTATCTCTAAAATGTGGTGTCGAATCTTTTATTGTACTATCCTCCAGAATTCCTGGTGAAAATTTTGGTGAAATTACTGGTTCAGATAAAGGTCTTTTGGCTGCTGAAGATTTACGTTGGACTCAATCATTTCTTGAATTTGGTTTGAAAATTCAAAATAATGAAAATGGTGATAGAGAAGGTAAGGAATTACCTATGATAACATTTTATATAATATATATATATATACATATAATGTTTATATATATATACAAATATTTCTTAAAATATTTAAAATTTTTTTTTACTTAAAATTGTACCAATTTTCGATTTTACTAACTTTACTAACGCTAATACCTGTCTCTTATACACATCTAGATTTTTTTTTTTTTAGAACAACCTCCTCCACCGAGACCTATTAAAAAAGCCAGAAAAAATATGAATGAAGGTAGACAATTCATTGCTCATCGTATGAAAGAATTATATAGAGAAATAGTTGGATATGGAGTTGTACCTTATTCTAATTGGGAAACCGAAAAGCATAAATTAGAAATTGACGTTGTTGGATGGCCTGAAGGAATGCCTTTTACCGCTCATGCATTTAAACGGGACCAAATGCAAGAAATTATTAATGCATTAGAACAAGGAAAAATTAAATTTATTAGTACTAAACAGACCTTGAAGAAGGATAATAACGATAATATGGAAACTAAAATGGAATTGGATGGGAAATAAATTGCTAATTTCAAATAATAAGTTTGATAAAAAAAAGCAAAAAAAATATATGTATATAATATATATATATATATATGTATATAAAATTATTATGTTAAAAAAATTTCTATAATTAACTATATTCAAAAAATTATACGTAATATGATTTTTAAGATTATAATAAGCATCAACATAAATAAGCATCCTTTTTTGAAGAAATAAGCAAAATTTTATATATAATCAATACATGGTAGAATTTTATTAAGCTAGGAAACCTTTAAATTTTAGTTCCTTTTTGTTACAGTCGATTACGTGTTCTAAGTATATATTATATTTTCATAATAAATCGTGTCACTAAAGTTGGCTTTTTATCATACTAAATATTTATTATATCAGATATTTATTTATCAGATATATTTATTTATCAGATATTTATGTATCAGATATTTATGATTGTACTCTGCAGCATATAGGCGGAAAGGAAAGTCAGAGGGCATATCGGATATTTATATCAGATGATTTATTAAAAATTTTTTTTTTTATTAGACATATTTACATATAGGGGTTCATTGAACAGCTACTTTGTAATGGATCTCCTTTTATGTTTACTATGATGAGATCCTATCGTTAATACTTAATATACAACTTTATTAGCTAATAAATAATTAAATTTCTTGTGGTTTATAACAATGATATTAAGTTAAATAAAAGTATAAAATACATTATGCTAAAATATACAAGAATATACAAATTAAAATAATTTAAATGAAATATTTCTTAATTATCTATAACTTTTTCTCATATCAGTTCTAGAATTAAATGGTGCAGGATTATTATGCCTTCTGTTATTTATTATTATTGGACTTTCAATAGCCATTCGACAATTATGACAATTACAATGAGGAACTGGTGTTATGCCATCATGTATATCATCCTCATATTGTATATACTAAAAAAACATACAATTTATATTTAGTTTTTATAACATATAAAGCGATTGCCCGAATTGCTTATTATTAAGTATACATACCCTACCGTTCCTATACTCAATTTGTTCATTGTACCGGTCATCAACATTTTCATATCCGTTACGTGGATTATTTATATGCATAGGATTTATTATTTCATCTCGTTTATGTCTCCTTTCACCAAATCGTGATGTCATTTCACTAACGCGTCCTGTTGTTTGTATTGGAATATTCCTTGTTGGATTCATCTATAACAAATAGAACAAATGTTTAAAAAATATATATATATACATACAATATAAATCCATTTAATTAATTCTATAAACTTACGGTTCTTCTCTCGTCATTCAATGATTGAAAACGATTCGTCATTTCACGAACTGATGAACTACGATTTGCAGTAGGTAAGGGAACACTATTACTGTACGGCCTCTGTGAATAAGGTAAGCTTGCTCTTGGAGGAGATCCATCTCTTGTAACATATGGTCCACGATTTTGTGAAGGAGTATAATCATATGATTCGTAATCATCATCAACATATTGTTGCGTACGATGATAATTATCATTATATCGCATTCTTTCTCCAGGAACTGAAGAATTATAAAGTAAACTCTCATCCCGATAAATTATCTCTCTATTTGGATATCGATTCATTTCATTTACTCTTATTATTTCATTATCGTATAATTCAGTATCTTCTCTCAAATATTCTTCTCTATAATCATCATCACGAGAATATCTTGATTGCAAGAGTAATTGAGGAGATGATGAATTATTTAATAAGATTTCTTTATTTTTGAACTGAACTTCAGCTGGAATTAACCTAGGACTTTCTGAAGGTATTTGTTGATTCATTGACTTATATAAAGAGTCGTCACCATTAACTTTTAATTTATTATTATCAATTAACGATTCCTTTTTATATGTAGTTTCTTTTTCTTCAAACTTATTTATGGTTATTTTAGTCGTTTCACCAATTTCATTAGATTTCTCAGAAAGGGACGCTTTTTTCTTCGTTTCGCTTTCCTCATCAATTTTTAGTTCCTCGATTAACTTTTCTCTATTCTTTTTATTATCGTTCAAAGTTGTATTACTATCGTCAGAAATACTACTTCTATTATGAACAATATTATCAAGAGGAGAATGTTTCGCAAATGTGAAAATATCTTTCTTTTCAGATTGATGTTCATTCTGCAATTTTATACTTGTTTCATTATCTTTTTTTCCGCTACCTTTCTTTTCACTATCACTACCTTTTTTCTCGATATCTTTTTTCTCGTCATCTTTTTTCACGTTATCTTTTTTCTCTTTAACTTTTTTCTCATCATCTTTTTTCTCATCATCTTTTTTCTCATCATCTTTTTTTTCATCATCTATTTTTTCGTTTACTTTTTTCTCGTCACCTTCTTTCTCATTACCTCTTTTCTCACTATCTTTTTTCTCGTTAACTTTTTCCTCGTTTCCTTTTTTCTCGTCATATTTCTTCTCATCATCTTTTTTCTCATTTTTCTTAATATCATTTGTTGCTTTCTGAGATTCATTAGATTTCTCCTCTTGATTTTTAAATTGATTCGAGAAATGTTGGTTTAATACACTTTTTTCAACTTTGCTTTCCATAACAACTTCAGGATGATGAATTTCAACAACCTTTTCATCCCGTAAAAATAGATTATCATTATCACGAACTCCAATTGAAAATCTTGAAATAGCTTTTGAATCAAAAGATGAAGTATAAACAGGAAGTGTTGATGTTGGTTGTACTATAGGAGTTGAAGGAACTGATGACGTTGGACTTGAACTAGTAGCGTTTTCATCATTTTTCGTATTAAAAGTATTTAAATTATCAAAAATAAGTGAATTTGGACGAGCGTATGTCGAGTTCGTAGTTACGGGAATTGTTATAATTGGTTGTTTTGGTTCAGGCATTTGCACATATCTTGGAATAATATTCTCAGGTTCTTCATTTAATTGAAATTTAGATTCTTGAGAAAAATTCATTGCAGCTATTTGTTTTTCTGATATTGATGCGATTGACACGGGATGTCTCTCTGAAATTGTTGAATTTTTATCTGATTGTGATCGAGTTTCCTTTTTTTTTATTAAGAAAAAAAAGAGAGTTAAATAATAAGTATATATATATTTAATTAAATGTAATGGTTAAAATTTAAATATTTACTTGATCTTCTAAAAAAGAATCCAAATCTTGTGGTGGTGGCATATCTTCACCTGCGAATGGTGCCCATTCTTTCATTTTTGTAATAGCAGGTCCACATTTCTTTAATGATTCATTAAAATAAGCAAAATGACCTTCGGCAAGTTTACAAACTACCTGAGATATAATCGAATGTGTGTGTTTTTCACGTTTCACTACTTTTCCAGCGTATTCTTTTTGTGCACGTACAATTTCTGAACCCACATTTGAAACAGAAGTCATGTATTGCTTTGTAGAATAAAAAAATAAAGTTTTTTAATTCCAATTAAAATTAAAATTAATCTAAAAAAAATCAATAAATAATTTAAGTGATAAAAGCTCACATTGTGTGATTCCAATGAAGATTTACTTTCTTTCTTTGTTTTCTTTTCATAATCTTTGCCCATCTTTTTCAGTTGTTTGTCCAAATCTCCAACATAATCATTATGAGCTTTTTCATCTTTCTGCAAAAAAAAAAATAAAATAAAATAAAATAAAATAAATAAAAGATGAAAAAAATTATTCATAAATATTAAATAAAAACTCTGAAAATAATTAATAAACTTACGGTCACTCTTTTGGAATATTTATCCCAGAATTTTTGAATCGAATCGAAATCTTTTTGTAAAGCTTTATTCTACAAATCAAATCAAAAAAAAAAAAAAGCCATTAATTGAAATAAATAATGAATGAAACGAAGGTAGAAGATGATAAAATACCAGCTTTGATTGAATTTCATTATGATTTTCATAAAACTGTGAAGTAGTCTGAAAGCACATAACTAAGAAAAAAAAAAAATTATATATTATATATTATATATATATATATATTAGAAAAAGTTTATAATTATATAATTTTACGTACCATGAACATTATCCATTCCTTTACTATTTCCATATTCCTTTAATGTTTTACTAAACGTTTTTGAGGCCTTGCTTAATTTATTTATCAAGTCACGATAGGCTTCAGCAGCTACAACAAGACGTTCTAAATTATCTACTGCTTTACGAGCATCATCAATATTAGGTAATTTATCTTCTTGAGAAAAATAACTAGACAAATTTTTCGTTGGTGATAAAACTGGTGACATTGGAGGGGACCCGAAGAATGTAAAACGTTTCTTTTGTGATAATGCCATTATTTATTATTAAATAAATTATATACAATTAATTCTTGAATATTTTTTTTCTTTTTTTTTTTTGGTTAAAAGTAATAATAAGATATTTTCATTATTTTATGAAATTCGAATTAATTTCTTTTTTAATCGAATTCAAGAAATCAGAAGTATATAAATAACTTTAAATTATATGTATGCGCCTATGTTGACTATAATTTCTTAAGAATTTAAATCCCTAAGAAAAATGGCCAAAGATGAATGATGATAAAAATTTTAAAACGTGGAAACAACATTTTTTTTTTTGTTCAAAGAGACATTTATATAAGGAGGTAGGACACCACCACATTAAGGGGGTTTTTTTCCAAAATTAAAAATTAAAATCAGGGTAAATCAGGATTAAAAAAAAGGAGAATATGAATATGATGTCACTTTGTTATATGATGTTTGTTTTCTGTACAAATTTGGATATTTTCAAAAAAAAGGAATTTTTGAAAATTGAATTAAGAACATCATTAAGAAAATTTTGTATACTGTAACCATAACAGAAATCTGAGACCAGCATATATTAATAACATTAATAACTAATATGCTAATATGCTAAAATGCAGAAATAGTAAGACAAATGATTCAAATTCACAATAATTGGGTATATGTCATTAAGGTTTTTGAACTTTTCGATAAATGCGTTTCATTTTCCCTTGCGTCAATTAAGCACATGACAAACTTTTTGTGCCGATTACTCCGATATGGCATATCAACCATGTAATTCCGGCCAAATTTCGATTATGATTGGTATTAAACTTATTAAAGTAATATTTTAACATATGAGAATAATAAACTAGATATAGTATAAGTGATTATCAAACACCCATGCGTGTCTGTCAATCAATCGGCGAAGTTGGTTATTATACCACGTTTTTCGATTTTGCCGGAACCGAGTCGACAAGTTACAGGACACGGTATGTACTAAATTATTTAAAAATAAAAAACACGTTACAGGACACGGCTCATACAATTGCACAAATAAATATTATTTATTTATATACTTGAAAGATTTAAACGTTTCAACTAATTCTTGTTAACATTGAATGGAATTATATTACTTAAAAAAGGTAAAGAATATTTTAGTTCAAATTCTTTCAATCGGACCGTCGGGCAATATCATTGTTAGAATGATCAAGAACAATCATATAATCAGTTTAATTGTTCTAAACAGGGTTTAGCTCCCTTTTAAGTAAAAAATTATAAATATAACGATTTTTCGACATAATTTTATACATTTCTTTGCATTCTTATTTGAATAATTAAAAATATGAATAATTCACCATCACAAATTACACCTGATTGTCTTGAAGTTATCTTTAAATATTTAAAATATGATCGATCCTCACTCTTTTCTTGTTTACTTGTAAATCGACTTTGGTGTCGTCTAGTAGTTCATTTGATCTGGAGAGATCCTTTTTTTAACATGAATTCCAATAAAGAACCTCTTTTCGGTATTGTTCAATCATACATTTCTTGTCTTCCGGATACATCAAAACAAAATATTATTGATGAAATTATTAATACGGATGAAAAGGATGAAAAGGATGAAAAAACATTCCAACAATTACAGCAACAATTACAACGACAACCACTTTTCAATTATATCAAATATTTACAGGTTTTTAATTCAGAAAACTTTGATATTGCATTTAATGAATGGCATAAAAAATATAATAATCTATATACAAATACCCATATATCCAAATTATTAATTGATTTCATTTTTAAAGAATGTCCTAATTTAACCAAATTACGTTTTTATGTTTGGGATAAATGGGGTATACCGTTAAGTAAAATGAATTTTGATTTATTATTTAATAGAGAAAATGGGAAAAATGTTTTAATTAATTTAAAAGAATTTAGATTTATATTTTACGCAAAAACAAAATCTGATGAATTAGAAAATTCTTTTAAAATTGCTCTAAATTTATTTAATAATATGGAAAAAAAATCAAATAAGATTCAATTTATGGAGATTAATTTTAGAGGACAACTACCATCAAAGAAAATTGATCAATCTATTGGAAATTTAATTAAAGCACAAAAAAATTTGAAATCTTGTAAATTCATAGAATATTGGGATCCAAAAGATCCAAGTATTTACAAAGTATTATTAAATAATAATTCTTTAACCCATTTAAATTTATCTTTATCTTATTTTCATCAATCTTTCTTTGAAGGTTTATTAGCTTGTAAAAATTTGGAAACTTTGGAATTATTAAGATGTCCTCAAATGCCTTCACATCTTTTGGATTTTCCTTTAAAAGGTTCACTTCCTATTAAGAATTTAAAAGTTATAATGAATTATCCCGCTGCATTTAATGAATCTCTTACAGTTTTACTTCATATGTGTAATATTAATTTAAGAAAATTATTTATTAGTGGAGTAGATGATATTATTATTGATAATATTTGTTCATATAATACTCGACTTACTCATTTATCCATTTTAGCTCAACAACAAATTTTTGATCCACCGCAATCTTTATCTGTTTTAACAGAATTAACACATCTTAAATTAGCAATGATTCAATCATATATTTTTTCTAATGATACTTTAGATTATTTTATTGATACTCTACCTTCTTCTTTACAGTATTTGTGTTTTAATTTTAATATTGATACTAATTCTTTAAAAATTTTCTTGAATGATTGTAAAATTCCTTTAAAAAGTTTGGAATTTCATCAATCTGATAGTCAAGGTGACGAAGTTTTTGACTCTCTTGTTAATTATAAAATATTAAATCAAAATGTTTGCGAAGAAATGAGATTGTTTATAGAATATCCTCATACCTTTTCTTCAAATACATTTGAGAAAGCGAAGAAACACATCAATATTATATTAGATGTTCCCAAAAATCATGATCTTTGGTAAGGTTGGTATAATTTTGATTGTATAATTATGTTAGAAAAAAAAAAAATTTGAAATTATGTATTTTATGTATTTGCGCGTTTTTAACTTCGTGACTTATTGGACACGTGGGACGTAGTTTATCATGTGACTTCTAGTTACATATGTTCATGGCGATAATTAAAAAAGTTTGATTCCGAGATTTAAAAATAAAAAGTTTCATGAGTTTAATTATCAATAGCATTTGTATGAGATATAATATTAAAATTATAGTTATCTTGATATAAATTATATAAATTGTATTTATTAGTTTGACACCTCCTTCCTTTAATTATAAACTTTTGATTTCTTATGATGAAACTTGCCATTAATTTAATTAAGAGCAATCAAATAAATAATCAAGATGGGGAAACTTTTACAAATTGAATTAATAAAATATTTTAGGAAAACTTTTCTAAGTTCAAAAATATTAATTGAAGAAATATAAGAAACAATTAAACCTGGTGCAAAATTTTAAAGATACAAAAGAAAGGTAATATTATTTATATATGAATTATCAACTTTTGGTTATAATTTCAACAAGTTAAACTATTTATATAGTAGATAATCTAGTCATATACCACTCATGGATAAAATTAAAGAATTCATTACTGGTCAAGCAGTGATGGAAGTTCTCAGTCAACAACTTATAGCTATCAATCAAAATGCATTAATCCAAATCAATAGTCTTGAGAAATTATTTGTTTTATAGTAAGGTAAAGATTTAATTACAATAAAATCCCTAGACTATATTACTAAGGATATTACTATTCTATCATAATGTAGTAATAGTATTTGCAACAAAATAATTGTAAATTATCATTATTTTTGTTTTTTTTTACTTAATATTTTATTTATTTGACATTATTAACTATAGAATCATTGATACATAAGATAATTGTTTACTTATATGTACATAATTGTTTATTTACTTCAATAAAAAACAATATAAAAAATTAAAGATTAAATTAACAGAAAAGCTAATACTAGATTATCCAGATTTTAATAAAGAATTTATACTGATAACAGATGTATCAGAAGAAGAATTGGAAGCTGTATTAGCTTAGAAAATAAAGAAAATAAAGAATTTACATTAGTAGAAGTTTAGTTGGAGCAGAAAAGAATTATCCAATAATAGAATTAAAATGTTTAGTGATATTTTGGAAATTTAAAATTTTCATAAATTTTTAATTAATAAAAAATTCAAAATTATTACTGATCATACAGCATTGAAAGAATTAATAATGAATGCTAAAGTACTTAAAGAAAGAAGAGTAAGATGGATAATAGAGTTATAACAGTATGATTTTAAAGTAATATACAGGAGTAATAAAGAAAATAAGAATGCAAATTTATTATTACAATTAAAATTTGAGAATAAAGATATAAAAAGTAAAAAAAATAATCAAAAATATCAAGTAATAAAAATGAATAAAAATAGGAATATAAATCAAAAAAAATCAAAAAGAGAAATATGTTAGATTAAAGAATAATAAATGGTACAATATCAAAAAAATGAAAGAAAGATGGGATAAATTAAAGTATTTACTAATAAAAAAGCAATACTATTAAATATTGATGAAAAGACAGAAGAGAAATTATTAAAAAAGTTAAATTAGAAAAATAAATTACAAGTTATTATAATTAATGGAATAGATAATGTAGGAAATTTATAGCAGTAGAATAGAAAATATAATTAAACAATTAAAAGGAAAAAATAAGTTGAAAATAGTGTTTAATAAATTCAAGAAAAAAAGAAATAATGATAAGAGATTTGAAGAACCTTTAAAAGAATATGAATGGTTATTTAAAAAACAAATTGTAGAAGAAATTAATAGAAGAATAACTAAATTCACAGAATAAATCCATATGAAAATTATAAGATAAAGAAAGAGATATTTAAATATAGAGATATTATAGATAATGCAATAGTAATTTTTTTAGAAAATAAAGAATGTTGAAATAATTATATTAAAAAGAAATTAAGAAAGATAATAAAAGATACAAATCATTTTATAATACATTAAATAAAGAATCATATATAAATATAATAAAAATATTTAAAAGCATCAAGAATACTGAAAATATGAAAGGGTCAAAATTAAAAATACAGTCAACTCTTGTTATAACGAACTCTAGGTTCCAGACCTCAACTTCGCTATAGGGCTATAGTGAAGATTTTAAGAGATTTGATTGGTTAATTCGTTATAGCAAGGGGAAATTTATTATAGTTGTCTGAAAAATTCACTATATCAAGGGTTCGCTATATCAAGGTTTGACTGTAATGATAAAAGTTGAAAAAAAAATATATTACAAGATGTAAAATAATCATAATAAATAAATAGTATAAAATATTGATTGAAAAGTTAAAATTATCAGAAAAAAATTACAAAAAGAAAGAAAGATTTTATTAAAAATACTGAAGTACATAGGAATTATTCTAGTAAAAATGTGAAAGAAAAGAAAAAAAGAAATATAAAAATAGTAATTTTAAATACACCAAAAATAATATGTAAATATAACAAAATAATAATAATAAAAGATGAAATAAACAGATAAAAGATGTGATAGAATAAAAGAAAATCTTTATAGAATTAATGGAAATAATAAAAAATAAAAGAAATATTATTAAGATAAAAATACAAAATAAGTAAAAAATATTAAAGAGAACATAGTAAAAGTCCAAAATTTTTATATGAAATATATGCTAAATTTTGCATTGATACTAATTTTATCTCGAATTTAATGATTTACAAAAAAAATTTGACATGAAATTATTAAAAATTCATGTAGAAATGTGATTTACTTTATTTTTATATATAAATAACTGTAATAAATAATATTCGCATAGTAAAAGTCCAAAATTTTTATAAGAAATATATATTAAAATTTTGCGTTAATATATATTTTGTCTTGAATTTAATGATTCACAAAAATTTGATATAAATATATTAAAAATTGATGTAGAAATGTGATTCACTTTTTTTTATATATAAATGACTATAATAAATGATATCTACATAGTAAAACTCCAAAATTTTATATTAAATATATACTGAAATTTTGTATTGATACACATTTTATCTTGAATTTGATGATTCACAAAAAAAATTTGACATGAAAATATTAAAAATTCATGTAAAAATGTGATTTACTTTTGTTATATGAAAAATCATATATCAAACCTTGCAAATCAGAATTTGTCAGTAATTTTGAAAACAGCAATAACTAAAATTTGATTTTTTCCTCATTTATTCTCAGCTATACTTCAAATACCTTCAGTTAAATATATTGTAATGTAAGGTATGTCTATCTGTACATATAATTAACCAATAAAATATATTATTGATTATGTATGATTATTATCATATGATCAGATTTCTGATGTATGATTAATATTTTTCATTAAAATTTTAGTCATAAGTTAAACTCTTTTTTTTAAGATTGTTAAATTTTTGCAAAAAAAGTTATCTATAAAATTATGTTACATAAATATTATATTTTGATTTAATACATTAAACAAGTGTTTCAGATATTACAATGGCTCCCATTACCTAGTTTAAAATATAATATTTTTGGCTTTAAAATTAGTATTAAAAAATAGCACAAATTGGCTATTGAAAATAGTATTTCTGATAGAATAATTGGAATTTTAAAAATTGACATAAATAAATAAAACTATTCAAAAATAAACAAAAATTGGCAAATTATATTTGAAAATCAGCAAAATTATTTTAAATGGAGTAAAATCTGATTTTTTTCATTTAACCTATAATTGTAACTTGTAAGTTTTGTCCATTTTTTTAAAAAAATTTGAAAAAATTAAAGTTTTGATATTTTTGATTTTACAGTTTAAAAGATATTTTTTAAGATATTTTTGGTAATAAATACATTCACAAGTGATTATGATAAATTCTTTAATCTTCAGAATATGAATATCAGAAGGATAGATACTACTATTTGTACTAAGAATATTTAGTACTAGAGTGATAATTTGAGATTTGTTTATATTGCTTCACTTAAATTTAAAAATAAAAAAAAAGATATTGGACCTGTTTTTATAATATTTGTAAATTATATCAAAATCCTTGCCTCAAATTAAATCTTAAAATTGAATTTTGGTAATGATTTGGAATTTTAGTATCAATTTTGAATTTTCAGCAATAGTTTAGAATTTTGACAAATTTAGGATTTAGAATTTTAGCAATTATTATATTTCAAGAACTAAGATACCTTTGCTATATATAGTTGATAGGTTTGGGATTTCAACATCCAATTTTAAATTTCAACAATAGTCTGTAATTTTAGCAATAAATTGGAATTTTGACAACACAGTTTTAGATTTTGGCAACTATTTGGATAATCTAAGGTTTTGGCAATTTAATTCTAAACTATTGTTGAAATCTCAAATCATTGCTGAAATCTAGAATTTAGTTTAGAATTTTGGTAAAAGTTTCAGTATTCTGACACGCTGAAACGGAATAACACTTCGGCAAGAATTTTTCCGATATCGTACTGCGCATTTCAGGTGACCGATCTCACATGACGCCTATGCATAGATAATATTCAAGATTTCTATAAACTGGGTATGAGTTTTTTCCCATTCTTTCATAAGATCATCAAGCCATGCAGTACTCGACGCAATAGCTCTTTACCAATCAACCTATCGTGATCTGTTAGACTATGAAATCACGACAGAAAATATTTTTGATCCTAATCTTTGAGACCTTAGGTCGAAAAAAAAAGCCATACATCATTTATATTTTCATATCTATTGGCAACAGCAAGTACATCACACATGAACTTAAAAAAATAAAGCCCAATACGGGTGAAATTATAAATTGCTTTATTGAAAATTTTATTAATAAAAAATAGCTAACTAGATGCAGTTAAAAATTTGACTAATATTATATTCGCACAATCATGAGAGCATACTCATGTAATTTTTATCTAATTGAAAGCCGGGTGTCTCATCCAAAAAGCTTTATTACTCGTCTTACTTTCCAACCCTTTATCTCCTCTTCAGTCATCTCGTCAAACATATCTTTCATGTTCGCGACATCATCCTCAAATTCGAATTGGACCTTAGGTCTATTAAAAAATAGGTCCACATTTTCCGATGCTTCTCCTTGTAAATTTCCCAAATGACAAAAGTTAATTCTCGATCCAATAGGAAAATTAGGGTCAATGGTAGTAGTTGCGGTAGAAATGGAATCTTCGTCAAGTGTTCTCCCAATAATGTCAAGAGCATTACTTGAATCGATGGCTCGAAACATCATAACTGTTCTATCATTTGAAAGCCAATAGAATATCCAACAATCATTTAAATCAGTGAGAACGAGAAAACGGCAAAATTTGAAAGAATATTTGTCGCGATAAGCTCTGTAATGACTTGATAAACATGAATATCTTGGACCCTTTTCTTCAGTTCGAATCCAGCCCGAATTCCACTATAATAATCTAGAACATTGTAAAAGCTTTTGTTCATGACCAATACATCTGTCATCCCACTTATGTCGAATGGAAGCGAGACATCGCTGACATTCAAAGGTCATTCTTAGACTTTGGATCGTACCAGGCGAGTGTTGAGGAAATAGAGATATTGTCACTTAAATAATTCATATACTGTACCCTTGTTTAATCACACTACCTTGAAAATCTTTTTGATCCTCCGCTTGTTGATTTTCGATTCGTTAATCCCACACGAAGAATTGTTCATCAAAAACTTTATCTGTTGAATCCACAGTGATAACACTTATAGCTCGACAAAAATTCAAGTGGTTAAGTAACTCATCCAAATGCGTTTGGTTCATACTTGAGAGAGAGACTTTTCGTTTTTTCGTTTGCCTAAAATAAAAAAAAATAAATAAATACTCAGCAAAAGGCATACGAATTGTCAGTAAACGTGTCAATCGACCGTTTTATTCTCCTTTTGTAGTTTTCGAAGGTGCCTCCGAGTAAATATAAGAAGCACGAAGTTAATAAATTACATAAACGTCGCCTTAACTATTTTGATCACTTTTTTTTTACACATCCATTCATCAACTTTTTCATTATTCGTCTTCTCAACAGGTTAACTTAACGCTCAAAAAGATAATAAATTCACTTACCGGAAGGAGAGGTAGGCAACTCGACAATTATATGAATATTATTTTCGTTGGGTTGTGTGGTAAAAATGTCTCCAACTTTGTTAGGATGAAGAACTCCCATCCCTGCAACACATTCACGATGTTTACGCTAGAGTCACCGAGGTTTGGCGAATTTAAAGGTATATCAACTACCCATAGTCTAAGTTGCCATGGTGCAAAATCATCGAGATAAGGTTCGCTCTCTTTCTTAATTAACTTCCTAAGTCCTCGTGACCTCCTACCGTAGCTGGGAAAAAAGAACTTGGAGGTTTTTGTGGACCAAACAGAAAAGTGTGGTTTCGGATCTAGTACCAGTAGACGAGCTAATTGCGGTAGGCGAACTAGTAGCAGAAGTTTCCTCTTTTCTTAGTCATAACTTTAATATGTAAAGCGATAAAAAGAATTTTAGATAGTTATATACTTGTAAAAACCTCATCATTGTTGTGCCCCAAGTTGACGATTGCCCCAAATCAACGATCGGCCTAAATTATCGGCCCATCTTTATAATGCCTCAAGAATTTTCAAAGCATCACTTTTCACATATAGTAATCATCGATGATTATCGTCAATTTGGGGCATATTGAGATTTGGGGCACAACATCATGATTAATAATAAAATAGACTCTTGATCAATGACGATATAAGTATAGAATTTATCAGTAAAAAATTTACGCGAAAGATGATGTTCATCATGACGCAATTTTTCGGGATTTATGTACTAGGCTATGCCTATTTCATACAAGAATTTTTTTTTTTATGGTAAGGATTTCCCCAAAAGCCAAAATTGATACTGCCAATCTTGTGCAATTAATCAAACGAAAAATCAAACGAAAATTCTAATAAAATTTAAACCTACCATTATTTTGATCATTGATATTTTACAATCTGTATATTCCGCAAAAGTTGTAGTTCGGATTAGCTTCTTGAAACATGTCATCACGATGTTAATCGATTTTCTCATCTCTTTAGATGTCCCAAAATAAATGGACATATTACTCCTCTTGTTATACTGTATATCCCTCTTTGATAGCATCATATGTTTCGTAATTCACTTCTGAGATTTAAAAAATCAATAAAGTTGGGACCGCGACTATTATTTACCCCCTATGGTAGTATATGAAATTAATTATACAATAATTAAAAAACACAGATATTGTAGTATATTGTCATACCGATAAGTATAGTAAGTTATGATATTATGATACTAACTAAATCGTTTATATATTACTTAAATAGAAACATCATTTATTTATTCATTTTATTTATGAAAAAATTAGATTTAAAAAAAATTTATATTTATATATATTGAATATACAGTACTGTATTAGCAATTATCATATAGTTACAGAGGTTAATATTGTACATCCTATCCATTTATTTATGAATGTATAATGTGAGCCTAAATAACTAGACGATAATATAATTATTGTATAGGGTAAACACTTAATGATAGAATAAAACGGCTGCGCCGTTTTATCCTATCAAGTATACCCCATACAATAATATGTAAATCTACCTTACATAAAAGTAATAATGCCATCAAATGCTTTTAATATTAATGGAACCTTTTTTTGCAGTTTGCCTTCTGAAATTTCTTGAAAGGCTTGAGAACTAATAAAATATTGAAATCTCCCTAAAAATATTTGTCACGATCGAAATTCATGAACTTATAAGGAGTAATTAATATATGATGCGACAATTACGAGTGTATTTTTAAGCAAAATAGCATTTTGGTTATTAAATCGGAAATCGGGAATAGGTACAAAAATTATTGCTTTTTCATTTTATACGGCATCAATATTCCTATAAAATATTAATGAATCTTTATATATATAAATCAATACGAAGAAATGAATCTAAAAAATTGGCATGTTCTGTTTCTGTTAGTTTATATTAAATCAATTCAATGATTGAATATTAACTACGAGGAATAAAACCATGATTTAAATGAAAAAGTTGAGGCCAGAAGTGCTGATGTCTATGACTTTACTTCTGAATAGAGATTTCGTGATAGTAAGCATCATTAAACTTGACCTCTTAAAATTTTTATTATATTTTGATTTTTAATTTTCCAATTTTTTTATTATAGCAATAAGTTGGGCACTTTAGGTTAATTTCCAAGTGCGGGCTTGGGTTGGTGTCACTGGTCAATCCAGTGGTGGTTTACTGGCTTATGTTCACAAAATATGGATTAATCCGTTCTAGTCCAACTAAAGGGACAACACTGCTATGATTATACAGGAATTAATGCGATAATGTCCCTATGAAAAATTTTATCCGTTATTTCTGTAAAAACTCCGTAAAAATGGATCCATTCACGGAAAATGTAAATAATTCGATAAATACCGTGATGTAAGTTTATTAATTCCGGAAATATGAGCCTTTTACGGAAAAAAGATGGAATATAAAAAACTGATCGACTTTTTTTTGGGGATAAAGCGTAATTTTACTAAAATTGAATAAATGAAGATCTATTCAGGGATGTATCCAGGAAAATCCTGGATACATTCAGGGTAACTAGGGATGTATCATCACAAAATGAACTATTCAGTTCGCCTATACCATTGATGCTTTTTATTAACCAATTACTGTATTATTAGTCAGATTAGTATCTGTCTATCTGATAAAGACATCGAATACTATGATGAAAAGATCTTAAATATGATCATACAAGAATAACATGTAAGTCATATGTCGTAACTAGTTAAGTCATATGGACGTAATTTAAAAATGAATTACAGTAAGTTTACACCTCTGGTGTTGAGATAAGCAGTGATATGCGTTTAAAGTTTTCAGGTGATTTTTGGACCATCTAATCCTTCCAATTCCAATATTCCAATATTCCAATAATTTTTTATTCATATTTTTCTCAATGGAAATTCTATTGGTCTAGGATTGGAAAAATTGGAAGTTTCCAATAGCTAATGCATCACTCGGGAATTTACTAGAATTTAAATGATCAACCTAGCAGGTCAAAATAAGCTAACCCAGTTTATACATCAACGATGCAAGGTTTTATTAACTATGACATCGAGTACTTTAATAAAAAGATCTTAAATATGATCATACAAGAATCAATGAGATAATATGTATTAGTTAACTGGTAACTTTCATATTATAATTGGACCTTTTAAATCTTTTCAATTCAATATCTCAATGTGTATGTATATGTAATCTATGGAAACTCTATTAAATTTGGAAGGTTTAGGATTGGAAGAATTGGAAGTTTCCGATTGCTTCCAATCTTTCAATGCAAATCACTGGGGATAACCGTAATTACGAAATCCCGAAATTTATAATTTGAAATTAATCCGAAATAAAAAAATCTTGAATTCATTAATAAAGATTATGACATTTCGAGATTTAACCCGTCTTTTATCCGTAAAAGGCTCATATTTCCGGAATTGATAACATTTTCCGTGAATGAATCCATTTTACGAAGTTTTTACAAAAATAACGTTTTATAGGGTAAGATTTTGTGAATGTCGGGATTTTGGTCGAACGGGATCCCGAATAAAAAAATATTAGCCTAATTATAAGTTGTTACATTAACGTTATTAATGATTAAATAAGATTTACGAGAGCTAATCTGAAAAAAGATAAAGTATAAAAGATCAAACAAAAAATTAATCAATCGCATTACGTATTTAACTTAAATAAAATTAGGCTGAACAAATTTATTAATAATTCTTTTTAGGTAAAATTAATTAATAAAATTAGGTATCATAGTATTATAATATTATAGTTAATTTAGATTTAATATATAATTAACCAGTAGATAACCGAAAAAAAATTTGTCCATAAATTGAAATTCGAATGATTGCGGTTGTTTATGGTTTCAAATGTACACAAATGTACAAGAGATACGATTTATGCAAAATCTTAACTTATTGTATGTTTCATGATGACCACAATTTATCAGATTTGGAAATAAAAGACGGATGGAATCAATATGCGATACAATGATAAAAATTTTCTACATTAGTATAACATATATAAAATTACCTTTTAAAGCTATTTACTTTTTAAAAATTATTGATTGGTCAATCTGAAACACTTTTTAAAATTTAGTAACTCATAAAAATCGCACTATTATTTATTATTTATGTAGTATGATATATAAATATGAAATATATCTGCAGGTTTTTTTATTTTCAATTACTAATAATAATACATAATATATTCCGGACCTCATATGACCCATACGATCCTAACGTATGGTTCATCCATAAATGGTGATGATTTTAAATTAACAACAGGTTTGTTTTTATTTAAGTTTATGTTTAAATATGGAAAACTAAATAATTACTATTGTGTAACGAGTAAATCTTTTTGTAATTTGTACAAAGAAAGAGAACAACGTTTTTCGAATTACAAGATTATTTTGGTTGTACGACTTTAATCTCTTTTTCTTGTGACAATGGATGGTTTTGTTGTAATTTTTAAAAAGGTTAGAAATTTTTTATTATTACTTATTATGAGGGGAAAATATGAAAGAAAGCCTCAATTTAGGGAGGCTTTTTTTACCCATTAATGTAATAATATCAATTGTTTTTTATCTTTTATCATAAAGGGAGATAAAAATTGTTAAAAGAGTCTTTTTTTTCAATTTGATCGACAGTTACAAAATATTTAAATAAAGAAATATGTATAATAAATATAATAAAATATCTCGAAATTTTTCGAAACTTACAATAAGGATTTATGCATTTTATTAAATCCGTTCTTTAAAGACAAAATTAGATGGTCAAAAGATCCTTGTTATCTTTGGTTTAGAATATTTTAAATTGAAACATATGCTAGATTCTATCCTGTTTCATGGATTTTTTTTTCTCCCGGGAACTTGTGTTACTATACTGTATATATTTCAACATAACAATTTTGGTAAATAAGTATAAAAAATTGAAACAAACTTACATTATAAAAGCCAAACAAGGGAACTACTAATATATTTGAAAATCTTACTAAAAATGTAAATTTTAACAACAATGCGTAAGTAAAAATTTATTTTTCAGATTTGAGAAATTTTTGTATATAAATACAAACTGATTTTGCTTTTCAATTTTTCTCCGTCCGAAAATAAAAAAAAAATCCTAACCAGAGTCGTTTTTTTTTTTCTCTCCTCCCTTATAATACAATATTCTTTATCCACTGCGTGGATAGAATAAATTATTAAATCATCACCTTCCTCTTTTATTCCTCATTTTATAAAATTCTCACCTAAATAAACCACTAATTATCCATTAATTATCGAGAGAAAAAAAAAAAATGGTTGCTCCACGCTTAGCTAAAATATTCTCTATCGCTGTAATAGTTACTTTCTTACTCTCCTCGGTTGATGCTGGTTGCCCTGAAAAATTATCAATAACTTCCAAGTCTACTGAAAAAGAGAAAAGTGTTATCGTTGTCTTTAAAAACGAGGCTGCTGCTAAAAGGCAATATGATATGTTTAAAAATTGTTTGGATGCAGATGTTGATAGTTTTGATAAAATTAAATCTCTTAGCAAAAGCAAAAAAAGTAAACCCACTTTCACTAGTTTCGGAGTTTTTAGTCTTTTTGGTCTTACTGGAAAAATGACATCACAAACTGTAAAGGAACTTGAAAAAATGGATGATGTTGATTATATTGAAGAAGATGGTGAAGTTAAGACTCAATATGCAATACCATCATCTCATCTTATTAGTCGTGCAGTAGACAATAATCCAACTTTCAACATTGATCGTATTGATCAAGCTAAACGACCTCCAGATGGAAAATATACTTTCCCCGATTCTGCTGGACAAGGGGTAACCATTTTTGTTGTCGATACTGGTATTAATATTAACCATAGTGAATTCGGTAATCGTGCCAAAATCGGAGGTTCTTTCTGTAATGGATGCAATGATGATGATGAAAATGGTCATGGTACTCATGTTTCTAGTATTGCGGCTGGAAAAACTTTAGGAGTAGCAAGAAAAGCCAATCTAGTTGCTGTTAGAGTTTTAGATGCTAATGGTTCTGGTTCAAATAGTGGAGTTATCGCTGGATTGGAATTTGTAGGAAAACAACACAATGCGAGTAAAAATAAGAAATCAGTTGTCAACATGTCTCTTGGAGGTGATAAATCAAAAGCTGTAAACGATGCTGTCGCAAAACTTACCGCTGCTGGTGTTCACGTAGTTGTTGCCGCTGGTAACGAAAGTAAGGATGCTTGTAATACATCACCTGCATCTGAACCTAGCGCTATCACAGTCGGTGCTACCGAAAAAGATAGTGACGCAGTCACAGATTTCTCAAACGATGGAAAATGTGTAGACACTTTCGCTCCAGGTCGTGATATTGAAGGTGCTGATTTTCAAGACGAAAATGGTACTGTAGTATTTTCCGGCACTTCTCAAGCTTGCCCACATGTTGCTGGTACTGTAGCTCTTATAATTGCCAAGAATGGTAACAAATCACCAGATGCAATGGCAACGGAACTTAAAAATTTATCAACAAAGGGGGTCGTTAAAGGTCTTAAGAATGGTTCTCCAGACAGCTTTTTACGTACTCCAAGCGCATAAAATGTATAGAATACTTTAAATAGAACGGGCTGAGAATATTTTTTTTTACTTTTATTTAATTTTTGACTCTGGTTGGGGTGTATTTTAATTAGAAATTCTAAACACTTTCTTTAAAAATCCGCTTAAAAAAAAAATTAAGCGTTTTAAATAATTGTAATACAAATATACAAATAAATAATAACTTATATATAAATAAATAAAATAAAATAATTTTTCAAAAAAAAAAAAATATAAAAAATAAAAAAAAGTCTTTTTTTTTAATTCAGTAAATTTAAACTATTCAATTAACTTTTAATTCAATTCAATCAATTAAATCAACTTTATTTCTAACTTTTTAATTTTTTAATTTCATTAACTTTAATTTTTTAATTTCATTAATTTTATTAATTTCAATAAACTTTAATTTAACTTTAATTCAATTTTTTTTTAAATTTTTTAATTCAATCTTTTAAATTTTTTAAACTCAATAAACTTTAATTTAACTTTTCAATTTTTTTTTTAAATTTTTTAATTCAGTCTTTTAAATTTTTTAAACTCAATAAACTTTAATTTAACTTTTCAATTTTTTTTTAAATTTTTTAATTCAATAAACTTTTTAACTTAAATTTTAATTCAATTTACTTTTAATTCATAATTTCATTCATTTTACTTTCTTTATTGCATTTTAAAATAAATCGGTATTTTTCTGCACATGATAAAATTTCATTTAATATTTCACCTATCATAAAGATAACGGAATGTCATAATTATGTCATTATTAAAAAGAAAATTTTTTTTTTTTTTTCTTATAAAATAATTTATGTGATTGGTAGTAATTTTTCGTGCATGATTAGAAAAAAATGTTTAGAAATGAACAAAGCAAGATTAAAAGCATTTAAGCGTACAAAGAATCACCGTGCATTAATCAAACCTTCTCATCTAAAGAAACTTAATTATTTTCTTAAATAAGTTTTATCCGAAATTTCTTTAAATTTTTACGTACAAAATGTTACACACACGTGAATGTTATATGTAATACTTGGTTTATTTATTTACGGAAAATCCGATTACTTTTTTTATACATAACATGGCATCTTTACTCTTAGTCTCTTAGAGATAACTGGTAAATTATTATCTTTATTGTTATTTCCAAATTTTAATTTTATCATCTTCCCAAAATTGTAACATTATTGAATTAAAATATAATTGGATATTAAGAATCATGTTATAAATAAATTATTTTCGGAATCCTAAAAATATTTTTATTAATTTAATGCCTCACTAAAACACACTGTATATACAAATATGGAAATATTATTAAATTATGAGAAGCCAAAATAGGATAATTATTAGGGGGTGAGTTGAAGAAAAAAAAAATTATTTATGGTGTCACTGAATATTGATTTACCTACCTTTCGTAATTTTGTATAAGAACATATCAACATATCAGATATCTTGTTATTATAGTTAATTTTATGCAACAAATAAATATCATCTTTATTTATTTATTACTAAAGTTAATTATTTTTCTCACGCTTTAAAATTTATATATTGAAATGTCCTTAGTCTTTAAGTAATCCTCTTTTTAAAATAATAATAATAATTATTTTCAAAAAAAAAAAACTTTTTGTTAATCCGTTATAAAAAATTATCCTTTAATGAGTCTTTAATAGTAAAATCGTCAGTAAATCGTTCGTAATCAATTTAATCAATTAAATCCTTATCAAAATTAATAATCGCAGTAAATTGATGCTAATCTGCTAATCATACTGATCGTGATCTCGTGATCTCGATTTTTTTTTTTTTTTTTTTTTTTTTTTTTTTTTTTTTTTTTTTTTTTTTTTTTTTTTTTTTTTTTTTTTTTTTAATATTATTATCGCAACATGAAATAACCTTCTTTTTTTTTACAAATGAGAATGAAAGTAAAACCAAAATGGCAAGAAAAAAAAAAAAACTACAAGTACTAGAATTTACCTTAAAGGAATTGTTCATAAAAAGACGAGAGGAAAAATAATAATAATAATAATAATAATATAATAATACTCTATAAAAAACTACCAACACCAAAAAAAAATATACATCTAATGATTTAATAACTTAAATTTTAATATTTCCATAAATAATTCAATGATTCAACTTCATCTAAAAATTCGGCCCTCTGAAAATCTTTTAATATACCTTCTTCTCGATATCTTTGAATTATTGTTTCAAAATGAGGTGTAATATTATATTTAAATGAAATATAAAATGATAAAGGATTTCTTCCAGTTGATTTCCAACTATCTAAAAATTCTTCTAAATCTTCATTTGTGAATTGCCAATCACCATCTAAATTTAAAACTTTGAGACTATGAGGACTATTAGCCCTTATTAATAAATCAAATAATTCTTTACCATTAGCTTTACTAGTAAAAGTATATATTTTTAATGCTTGTAAATGTGGATGAATTGTTAAAAATTTCATAAGTTTTTCAGTAGCTAAACAATTCCACCAAATTGTAACAAATTTTAAATTTGTAAATTTAGGTCTTGATATTACATCAAGATAATATCTAATTTCTTCAGGTTTATTAGGTGGACAATCAGTATTCCAATATATTCTTGATAAAGTTCCTTGTGTATTCTCAATAAATTGTGTAAATATATCAAAAGGTGTATGTTCATCCCAAAATATATCAAGAACTTCAAGTTTAGGAAAAATTGTTGTAGCAAATTGTGATAAATTGGAAATTTCTCCTGATATAAATAATTTTAAATTTTTTAAATTAATAAATTCTGCAAGTACTGTTGGTCTAATACATAAACTACCATGAAAATATAAGATAGAAATTGAATGAGCTTGTGATATTAATGCTTGTCCAATACGAGGATATTCATTAACTTGTCCATCTGGAGCTTGTAATTCTACATATTTTAATCCAGTTTGAAATTCAATTAATGATGCAAGTCCCGCATTATCATCATGACATGGATCAACAACTAATCTTTGAATATGTCTACATATTTGTGCTAAACCATAAAAAAATTCTGGTGAATTATCACTACCACATACTAATTCACGAAGTTTTTGTAAACATGTCGTCGATCCTGGACAATATGATAAAGGAACTTTGGGTAAAACTAGATGTTTAAGTGATGATCTTGACATAAATAATTTGTAAATTTCTTGTTCAAATAATTGATCTTTATAACCTCGATGAGGATCCACTGAATTATCGGTCAAATGTTCTCTTGTTAATTGCTCGATAGCCTCAGGAGAAAGGTATTGAAAATATCTTACGTATTCAAATGTTGTAGGAGAATTTGAAATAGATTTAATTATATTGTTCCTCCGCAGTAAATCTTGTGATTCTTTAGGTAAACATAATAAAATTGTTGCTGTTATTGCTGTCCAAAATTCACAATCAGATTGTTTTTCAAATTTCCAAGGATTACTCCATAAAATAGGAACAACAGTCTGACACCATTTCCTATTGACTAATAAACAAGAACGTAAAGCTTTTACGTCATCATCCAAATATTTAAATATTTGGTCGAGACAGTCTACTGGCAAATTTGATGCCATTTATTTTTTTTTTTTTTTATTTCTGTTGACAAAAAAAAAAGAAAGAAAATATATGTGTAAATAAAATATGTATATATGTATATGTATATGTATATATATATATATTTGTATTTGTATTTGTATATTACATTAGTTTGAAAAAAAAAAGGGTATATAAAAGGGAAAAAAAAAAAAAAAAAAAAAAAAAAAAAAAAAAAAAAAAAAAAAAAAGATTCCGAGGTAACACAAACAAAAACGTTTTACCTGATAGCCGATCAGTTTTTTAAGAATCCTAAAAAAAATTCAGTAATACAAAATTAATTTTATATCTAGTAAAAAAGTCAATCGTGATCCTCTTTTAACAAAAGAGTGGAAAATCAAAAAACACTCGAGGAAAAGATCAACTCTAAATTTTTAAAATGACCGATCAAAAACTTATTAGGATTTTGGTGTATTATCGTATGAAATTTGAGATATTTATAAATCAATGTATACTAGAAATTTATGGTATCGTGTGAAAAATAATACTCCAAGTTTGCCTTCTTTTCCGCGCCACAAAAAAAGGTAATAACCATGAAAAAGATAACGAAATATAATCTATTATTTATGATAAGTAAAAGAAGTAGAAAAAGAAGAAATACAAGAAAATGAGAATAATGAAGAAAAAAAATAAAAAATAAAAAATAAAAAAATAGAGATAAAATAAAAATAAAATAAAAAACAAAAAGTAAAGAAAAAAAAAAAATTTTTTTTTATCAAAATGAAAAAAATTCAAAGATAACAACAACAATAAACATGTATATAAATACCCAAAAAAAACGATAAAAAAGCAATGATAGGTTAAAAATGTATAAAGAAGATCCTAACTAAAATCAGAGTAGCAATTTCCGAAGAGAGTATATCTATAAAATATTACATAATTTTAATAGCATGACTGATTGGCTCAAAGCATACGAAAAGCACATGATTTGGATAATTTCGTGAGACATAATTCATGTAAGTTGTTATCTATCAAATTATTTGGGTTATTTTATACATTGTTTAAAAAATTGAATGTATTAAGAAAGCACGTCAAAGACTGCGGGACTTGGTATGCGAGATTGTGACATTATGTGCACATTTGCATTAATCGGCAGATACGAAATTTTTTAAATTTGCCAAAATGGTTAAATTCATTCTTAACCTTCTCAGTTAAACACTAAGCCCAATATAAATATGGATTAAAAATTCCTGGTTTATGTTCGGAATGTAGAATGTAATTTCTATTTGTTTGAGCTTTTAGGTTATATTTTGAATATATTGATTGCAGTATTTTTATTTATAATTTTTTTTTTTTTTTTTTTTTATTGTAACAAATTCAGGAGTAACTGTACATGATACGAAAGATAACGAAATGTTAACGGATATTATTACTTTCCAGGTAATAAAGATAAACTCTAAGCCCCTTACATTCTTTTTTTTTCTTTTATTCCACGGAAATTCTTTGAGTACATACATATCATATTTTATTCGCCGTTTTTCGGATAAACATTTGTAATACACTGATAAGTAAAAAAAAAAAAAAAACTTGATTGTAATTTTATCCCCATGACCCTTTCCGAGTAACGTACTAACTTACTTCTTTCTATACTTTCCTATACAAAATTTTCCCTGTTTTTTTTAAAAAAATACAAATATTTTAAATTTCTTTGTAAGCTAAAAATAAATAAACAAACCTGCGAAAGAGAATATGTAACAATAATATTTTTTTTTAAGTTTCAGAAGCTGTCAAATTTGTGTCCGATCTATATGATAATGTGACGTAATTCTAAATATTCGGAATCGATAGCTTATCACCATTGAATCATTGAATCAATGAGTGACCAATTGGATTCATCAACTATGTAGATCTGCACCACCACGTGACCGATAACGTATTCGCTAAAAATTTTTAATAAAATAAAATGAAAAACAAAGATTGGCACGAGAGTAACAAACTATATGTAAAATCACGTGAAATTTAAATTTTATTAATTATCATGTGAAAGTCTATAAAAAGTTAGGTATACTTGTATACTTGCAAGCTGTTTTCAGAAAGTTTTATATAATTTTATTTTTTTTATTAAAAAAGTATATATAAAATTTTTTTTACTATTTTCTTATATACTTCAATTTTTAACCAAATGATTTGAAAAAATTTGCTTTACTTTATATAAAATAATCAACTATAATATTAAAGAATATTAAATAATTTAAAAAAAATATAATTGAAAAAAAAAACTTTATATATATTTAAATACTTTAGATATATATACTATAAATGGCCCCTAAATTGATTTTTTTAAAAAAATATAATTTTGATAAGAATTTTGGATTTGAATATTTTTTATACAAAAAAAAAAAATAATTATACAATTTAATATATTTTAAATCAAAAAATGCAAATAATTTCAAATATAATTTCAGCTATTAAGTAAATTAAGTTACTTATAAAAGATAATTTCAGATTTTAGATTTTGGTATTAATTTTAGAGCCATTTATAATACATATATATCGGCTGATTGGAAAAATCAAGCCAATTAATATTTAAGCTCAGTTGATAGGTTCATTATATAACTGATGGGTTACTTAATGTCATTAGCATATAAAATTATGGGAGGCTTTTTCTGAACAGCCGATATGACTATAAATTAATTTTTAAATCTGATTATTTAATTTAAAAAATAAACTTTATAATTTTTACTAATTTTACAATATTATTAATTTATATTAACTTAATCTGTTTAAAATAATATAATTTCTACTAAATAATAAACACAAATTTATATATATAAACAAATATTCTACTAATAAATTATATTTAATTAATTATTATCAATAAAGGATAACTGGTAAATATTGTTATAAATATTCTTTAATCTTTATATTTTATATTTTATATAATAATAAATTTTAATAATTTACAATTACAATTTTTAGTATTAATACAAATTTTAAAAATCAAGTAATAAAGAAATATATTGAAATAATAATACCTACTTAAACTCTTTTTACCAAAGATTTTAATTTCATCACTAACTACTTTTAGTTTTATAATTAGTTAAACTATAATAATAATTTTTAATTTTAATTTTAATTATGATGATGCTGATTTGTATGAAGGTGCAATGTACTGCATTGTCTCAACGGGTATGATTGTAAAACAAATTCGAAAAAATATGACCTGAATTATTACTTGATCAAAATCAATGCGATTATTACTAATTCTTTTATTTGATATCCAATTTCAGGTGTTGACTGGGTAATAACAAAAGTTCAAAGTGGTATTGGAGATGGGAATCCGGTCGAAGTTTTTTTGTGTTCGCCTACGCCTACACCTCTACCTATCAACTACCCATCATTATTCCGCGATGACCTAGTTGGACCTATCGAGAAATTATTTGGGCAAATTAAGTGGTTTTTGATCAGCAAAAATCATCATTGGTCGATGGAAAGCGGGTAAAAACAGAATAATAGGATGGAGTGTTAGCATAGACGTCATGTATCACGGGCTAAGTCCCGATCTTGTATTTATTTTTCGCATGTAATAATAAAAAATTTTCTTGGCAAAAGTGATCGGCGTGAACAATTGTTCGCGCGCACGTGATTTTTGATCGTGAAGATTCTTCACGGTTACACCTATGCACCTATGATACATGAAAGATAATGCATGTTCTGTTTATTTTTTCCGAATGAGTCAGAACTTGATAAATAAATGCACAGTAATGGTCGATGAACGTGTCCCTTCTTAATGTGCATGGAAACGTATATTCCTTTCTATTTTACAGGCTTTTTCGGAAAGATCCTTTAAAATAAATCTCGTTAAAAATTACCTGGTTTTGTGTTCTCTAGCCGGGTGAAGAACGGATTTGTGAATAACGTATAGTGATTTTTTTTTAGTCGATTTATATGTACAGTAACATATTCATCGACCGGTAATTGTTGCTCCGGAATATCTAATAGATCTGAAATTAAATCATCTCAAATACGCGAGCGGTAATTGGTTAAAATCAAAACCCTTTTACATGATTTATGTTAATAGATAAACATTGCGAAAATTTTAGCATAGATACAGAAATACAGAAACGGAATATGTTGGTGGGAATTGGTTAATTATTCGGAAATTATAAAAGCATAGTAAATTAGGCGAAAAATTGGCATTAGAGTAGCAGGAAGGAACTCTCATTTTATGGGTTAGGGCTCCTCCCTTTAAACTCGCTACTTCGTTCGTTTTATTACATTTGTTTTTTTAGCTTATCATAAACAATGAAAAAAATTAAAGATTTTTTCAACGTGAAATAAAACTTTTATTATCTTTAGTTATTCTATTATGTATATATTGTTACCAGAATATTTAGCTATGTCCTTTTTGATTCCCTTCCCTTCGTCCACATTTCATTTTACATTTACAAACTTTTTTTGGGCCTTCCCCTTCTCCTTTGAGCGCTTTTTTGTTCTTTAGTCTCTTTTTCAGATTCGTGTTTTGTTTCCTCAATTTTAACGATTTGAGACTGGATATTGTTATTGTTTGTGATTATAATCTTAGTTAAATATCTATTAATATCACTGTTGACATTCCCAAATCCAATTACTACCCGAGTATAATTGGGATTAATTTCATGATTTTTATTTCGCGTTTCTTTAGTTATACATTCTACTGATTCATCTGTCTCACTTCTGTGTGTAATCCATATGAACATTATTTCCAATTTATCCTCAAAACTTGATAAGTTTGGTTTTAAATTTGGCCAGATACTGGAGAAAAACTTTCTCTCAGAATCCGAATGGTTATCCTTATTAAGAGTAATCTGTACTGGGGCAACGTACAATTTATCCTTTGTTTGCTAGATCAGTAATCCATCGATGGCCTCTTGGTTCCAACAGCATGGTAAGTAAAACATACATTTCTCTTCATTCGAAGAAAACTTAATTTCTTCTTCGTTATAAAAACATTCCATACCACCAGGCTTAAAATTTACACGGTTCGCCATTAATCCATTCCTAAAAATACTAGCAATACACGCCTTTTCAACAAAAAATCCCTTAACCGATGGGTTGTTTTTGAATTCCGATATGCGACTGATCCATTTTATATCTGTGAATATTTCCATTTCTCTTTTTTCAAAGAGATATTCAGCCATGGAATCTCGTACAAGACCACAGACATAATAACAGATATTGTCGTCATCGATGTAAAAGTAACGATGATCATAATCATCATATCTATAGCCCAGTTTAGGATGTGTATTTGTAATGAATGACGACATTAATCCAACATGACTATGAAAACAGAGAAAGTCAGCATCGTATAGATCATATAGTTCACAAAACAAACCAAAAATATATTTACCGATCCCATGTATGTTTATTGCCTAGTAGATTTTCCGAATATTGCGTCATCGGAATTTGTATTATTGACTCTAATTTTTGTTTTAGATATGCAAATGCACCTTCAAAATTCTCGAGACTATATTCTAGCAAAAAGTTTAAGAATAGTGGAATTTTGCCCGTGATATCTTTGATTTGTTCCTTCTCCCGATCATTCATTGCTGGCAAACTATACTTTTTCCACCATTCTTCCATCTCCTCCTAAATAAACATTATGTTAATATACAAAAAATTCACAACATAAAGTATCTTAGTCTTACCTCATTAAACCCTCCATAAAGCTTGATCTTCAATTCACCAGTTTGCTTTTGCATAAGATGTAGCATTGACTTATTGTTAGCTGAAGAACTCATTATATAATAATGGTAATTGCTCATTTTATCAATATCACATCTAATTTGTTGTTTAGTTTTTGAGTTAACCCCAGTATTATCAAATTCATCTAGAGCATTCATTTGGTCGACGATGAAATATAACTTTTCTTTGAATTGTAATTTTTTACAAAAATCTACGATATTTTCAAAATTTTCACAGGAATTAATTTCGTTTATTTTTGCATCATCATCATGATAGGCAAGAAATAAGGCAGACTTGACATAATCTACTGGGTCCACTGCCAGTTGGCGACAATCGGGAAGAAATACAACACGTCTTCCTGTTCGGAAAAGGAAGCATGCAATTGCTGAAAGGATATGTGACTTGCCATATCCGACAGTACCATAAACAAATAATTTCATGTATCCAGTACCAGATCGAAGTTTGTTTATGGCTTCTAAAACGTTCCTAAATTCCTTTCGTCCCATAAAGTTGAAATAACGATTATTGTCAATAGCGAATCTATCTATTGGTAATTTTTCGCCAAGGTATGGATATGGTAACGAGAGGAAATTTTTAGGATTTGAGTAAGTAGATTCATTCTCGTCAAGTTTCATTATGCCTTCCATGATTTTATGGGCAGTAGAAATTATATTTAGATCTATAAAATAATCTTACATGTTAAAATGATGATATTTAGTCTTAGTTGAACCCAAAAAATTACACACCTGCAAATTTCGCTCTTTTACTATTTTGACCTTCGTCCGAATCTACCAGCGATCGCTTTCCTTTTTCTGATTGAATAAAAAAAATATAGGAAGTGAGATAACGCGAATTTCTTGTTCAAGAGGTAAACCATTGGGAGACACTTACCAGTGGTGGCGGGCGGAGGCGGTTGCACGAGGATGTGGATGTGACGTAGTGGAGGTGCATAATTGTCTGGGAAAACCTCTAGAAATATATCGCTTGGATCCAACTTCTTAAGATTGAAAGTTTGTTTGATATATTCGATTTCTGGATTTTCAAGTACTTTCCTGTTTTCTTCGCTGATAGGAATTTCAGCCTTCCATAGATTCAGACGGTTAAGTACGATACCGCTACCATCAAAGTCATTTGATATCTCCTTCCAGATATGCTTTTTTAGAAGTCCAACGTTAAATTCTTTAATGGGGATCCAACCGTTATCAATAGAAATTTCTTCGGCAACAACAATCATGAACTCGACAAGAGACTTTCCCATAACAAAGCAAGTTAATACTTTTTTCATTTTGAATATGTAACTACAAACGCAAAGGCCGAGAGTTAAAACAAGGTCAAAAAAATTAATAGTCCAGTTATATAAAATAAAGACCTTTTTGGATTTAACGTTGGACTGGCAGGTAGGGAATTTTCCTCGAATTTAGTTTGTACCCGGAATGGCGAAGGTACTCGAAATAGCGAAGAATAGCTTGACATTTTGATTATATGTCATATATATATATATTTCCATAAACGGCTGTTGACTAATTACTACGAACTGTGAGTCAGTAATACTACGAACAGAGTCAGTAATACTACGAACAGAGTCAGTAATACTACGTCAAGGACCAAATACAAAATTACGAAAAAAATTTATCACAATGACACAATGTCACATGAGAGTGCCAATCAAAATAATTCCTGATCGGCGAAACTAATGTTCCGGACAAGACAGATATGAATATTTCGGTTATGACTAGGAAGCTTGCAAAGCCAATATCTATTTTTTTGTTCAGAACTTTGGGGACCTTATTAGGTAGAGAACATAAACTTTTGGTGAGTTTTAATATTGCTAATTTATTTCTGACTCCTCGTATTCTATGCATAATTGATGACCATTTTATTCTATCCAGAATATTGACGTTGGGGTAAATGAAATCGGATTAGAGTTAATGTTGGGATATTATGTTAGTATAGATAGTTTAGATGAACGAAACACTGGTGTGGTCTGTAGGCATTAGTACAGAAACGCCCACCATTTCACATTGTAAAACAAGTCTATGTATCATCGAATCATGTAATTTATTTACTGTATCAATAAAGAATTCAAACCGAAATACATTGTATCAAATATATTTTTCACGGGATATGGAGACGTGTGGTGAATAAAAAAAGTGAGACCTGAAGTCCCACTTGGGTAAAATGCATTTTAAATAGATCGCATCCTATATGAAAGTTATTATCGAACATGCTTGATTCATTGAAATAACGTATCATCAAGCTCCTAGCTGAGAATGCCAAGATTAAGGCTGAAAATGCCGAGGTTAAAGCCGAAAATGCTAAATTAAGGCAGGCTATAGAAGAGAATGAAGCCAGATTCGTAAAACTAGAGCAGAGTGATAAAGAAAAGGCTGAGCTCATTGCAGAACTAAATTGTGATATCAGGAAAATCAAACAGGAGCAAATTGCTATTAATGTTTTAGTGCAAGACGGGACATCTGTGGTGAAATCTTCCACTTGTTCAGAATTACAGGTGACTTCCCAATCATCCATTTCACCTCCTATTGAGGGTAACTCTGAGAATAGCTCCAATGTAACTCAATCCACTCATGCAGGGTCTAAATTATTGGAGGATAGACAGACCGATGAATTCCTGATTTCGGTAAGTAAGAAGGAGGTTAGTGATATAATGAGACAACGCAATAGAAAAACTTTTGCGTGGATCAACATATTCAAGCCAAGATCAGGATAAGCTCTCAATTTTCCAGAATAATTCCTCTATGCCCCTAGAAGATTCTGTGGAAACTGAAACTAATACAAGCAGTTCGCAATCATCAATCAAATTGAGTGTTTGCAGAACAGGAGAAGTTCAAGTACTACCCAAGGATACAAAAGTTTCCTATGATTATATAGTAGCCCAAGATTTTATATAAGAAGTGTCTTCGGAATTGATAGATGAAGATGATGTCCAAGTTATTGATGGAAATCAGGAGCTTACAACTGACATGACAATAGAAGTTGAGCTTGCTCATCTATTTCTAGAAGTAAGTATTGAAGGAAAGAACACTACTCAAGCTAAACAAAAAGAGATTTCATGTCGCTACTCATATGGGAAAAGGTTCGAAGAAAGTGTTCAAGAAATTATTGCCAGAAATAATGTTTCAGATCAGACGGCAAGAAAACAATTATTCCAGGATATAATAAAGCATCTTTCTGGAATAACACTGGAAACCTTACGTAAAAGAACCCAAAGGGCCATAAAGATTTACAAACTGTTTGAAAAGATAGGAGTAGATAGAATTAAGAATATCAAATCTTACAGTGCGGATTCTATTTCAAAGTTTACTAAGCCTCAAATCCAAATTATTCTGAATTATTTCGGTGGATCTTGCTATGCTGATACGGATATAAAAAATCCTAACTCATATTCTGAATGCAAAGATATAGAAAAAGTGAGTCCTAAATTCCTACTTGAGAAAAGCCAAGGGTCTGTCCCAAAAAAATTACCAGATGTTAAGATATGCACTCTGCCCACTTCTCAAACTTTGAAAACCAATCAAACTAATGCATTAGAGGTGCAAGAGAAATACTTGGATTCAGTTGAAGTAAGTACATCGGCAAATGTATTTTCTTCCAGTCAATCTAATCCAACCTATAACCGCACCTATTTTCGCAACAAGATATTGGATCAATATTCTAATCTATATAGAGAATGTAGTATTGAAAATTTTGACTATTGTGGGATTACTGATGAAACAACATGTGGAGACTATATCTGCCCATTATGCAAATTAGGCCATGATGATGCACTGGTCGAAATCAAAACTTTCGACCGTTAAGAGCTTTCGGCATAATTTTTGCCGATTGGTCATGTGATTCGTCACATTTTTTGACCAACGGCAAAAATCGGTAAAATCAATCACAAATCGACTGATACTGATTGTTAAACGAAAACTCGTTCAGTCTTTTGGTGAAAAATCGACTTATACCGATTGTTATACGAAAACTTGTTCCTTTAAGGTCGTTCAGTAAATTTTGCCGATTGGTCACATAAATCGACACAATTTTGCCAAATAGTAAAAAACATTATTTTTTAATTCGAATTTTATACTTTGTTTACATTGTTTATATTCAGTGCATAATCATTAACGAAAATTTTTATTGTAAAATGAATTTCGTCTTGTTTTTCGTCAAGTAATTATAATAAAAATACTACAAAAGAATCTTTTCGTAAAATGAAATTTCGTCTAATAAACGTGTCTCTCGTCAAGTAATTATAAAAATTAAAAAAATAAAAAAA